TCCCAGAATGAAGATTTTTGCTTTTTTTCTTTACAACAGTGTTACACTGTTGACTCATATTTAGCTTGTGGTCCAATCTGACCCCCAGATCGCTTACTCTGCAATCATTTCCCACTCTGTAAGTGTGCAGCCGATTGTTTCTTCATAAGTAGAGTACAGTACGTTGCATTCGTCCTCATTAAATTTCCTCCTTTTTTTCTTCAGACCATTTCTCCAATATGTCCAGATCATTTTGAATTTTAATACTGTCCTCCAAAGCACTTGCACCCCCTCCCCTCTCCATTTTGGTATCATCCTTGAACTTTATAATTGTACTTTCTATACCATTGTCTCGATCATTGATACACAGGTATTGAACAGAGCCAGACCTAGAACCAGTGCTGCAGAGCCCCACTTGATATACCCTTCCAGCTTGACCGTGAACCACTGATAATTACCCTCTTCATTGTTAAATTCCTCAGACTTTTCTTTAAGTGAGACTAAAGTGAGTCGCTAGTGGGCCTAAGCAGTCTGCTTCATTTGGTGCTTGTTGAAAAGAGGCCTTCTCTTTTTCCTCTGTCAGTGGGAAAACCACAGGGTGTGTTCAGATTGTTTCCTCTCTGAACATCTAGGTTCTGCAAACCACATCAGACTGACCTTACTGCTCCCATGGCCATTAGCATTATAAACTGTGTGGAGGCCTTAGCTAAAATGGAGAGTAACCTTTCTAAATTACCCAGCTTCCCTTCCACCCGTGACATCTTTAGGATGGAGAGCATGGCTGCATTAGCCTGAGTCTTAGGTCCCTCCATAACTCTGGAGAAGAGCGACGTTTGTGTGAACGAGTGAGCTGGCTCTGCTTGTACAGTGGCTGACATGACTTCATTGTTGATTTCTCTCCTATGCAGCAATTTCCGTCGATGTTTCTTAATTTCCTTCATTATTTCAATATAATACAAATGTGTGTGCCTTTTGGTAGAAATTCTTTAGTTCTTGGAGCAAGAATATGCTTGGTCTTCAGACAGACAAGGCAATCCTCCAGTTCTGTGTCTTTGCAACAGTAAATAGTGTATACTGGTGTTACCAGCAGCAATGTCAGCATATACTACAATCTAACAGCTTGTCTAGTTAAGAGGAATTGGACTGTAAAAATGACTCTTCTAAATATTCCTGCCTTTAGGCCAGAAAACAAAGCTGTCCATTAGGTTCTCCTCTGCTGGGTTGGCCACTTCACTTAACCATCTTTCAAATTTCCCTTTTTGCCTTTTTCCTAGAGATATAGATCTGTTAGGCAAAGGAAATAGCTGGTTGTATGTTGCTGTAGGGAATCTGGCTTTTAGGTAATTTTGTGTGGCATACACAGCCATTTCCTGTCTGTGTAGGAATGTTACAAACTAGAGATGAAAAAGTCCATATAGGTTGTCTAGTCCATACATCCAGCCAGGGCTAAATGGTTCCCTACTTTGTGTTCTCCAGTGATTTTTCAAATGTAGCTCTTTAGGGATTTGGGATTTGAAACTTTCATTTCACTGAAGGGAAGGCTAATAAATTAGTTAATATTTGCTAAGCAATTTGAAGATGTAAAGTTTAATAAAAACTTGAACTATTATGAGTGTTTTCCCCTCCTCGGCATTTCTTTTCTGATTATCAGCTTGAATTTTCTATTGCTCACTTTTACTCCATGGCTTCTTGGGCCACCCTGAGGATTTTCCCTTCTTTCCAAATATTTCCATGTCCAAAAACGTATGGACTACCATTTTAACCCTATATTAGTTATTTGATCAACCTGAATATGTCTATTTACATTAATCTTTCTTCACAAATGAGTCCTTCTAGGCTCTATTTCCTAATATCATTCTGATACTTTAGTAACCCAAAGGTGGACATAGTATTCTCTGCAGTTTCACCAATACCATTTAAAGGACAGCTATAACTTGTGCACATGTGGCCCTGAATCATATTGATTCTTTTGGGATGAATGTCAGCTTGCAACTTTGTCTACTTTACTGTCTGCTATCAT